TACCTTACAAGTCCTATACGGCCCAAAGCTATTACACAACAACTTTCGCGGATGATTGTTTTCCTTTCGCGGACCCATCGCGGATCTTTCGCGGAGACTCTATTTCACATGTTAAAACCGTTTTATATAATCCCCCACACAAGGACCTTTAGATCAATGCTCATATATATATATACACACACACATACATAGGCACATCTCTGTGCCCCAATGTCCTGCAGGCATTGTATTTTAGTTGATCTTCGATGCTCCTGCATTCAAAAAGACTGAATCGTCCCTCTAACGTAGATGCATTCAATGTTAAAGTTAGAGTTGGTTTACTCAGTCACCAGACAGAAAGCCACTTCCGTGAAGTGACATGAGTAAAACAAACCAGACAAGTGCCAGTAGAATGTTGGCATTGGTTGGGAATGAACCTGTTAAACGGCCTCATTGTACAAGGATCTGCTAGTCTGTACCAAAGAACACTTTCAGCTAGTTTAGACAAGACCATGCTATGCCTAACAGCAAATGCCGTAGCAGCGATCATGCCTTGGCGAGAAAGGCGAAATCTCCACTTTCATTTATCGCTTGATCTATCTGATAAGAGAACTTCCCTCTCCTTCACATCCAAGACGCGGCTAGTGTCTTTCCAAAAACAAGACGAATGGAGCTCTCAAAGCTGCGAAAGCAAACAAGCAAACAAGGAACTCTCTGGTTCAAATCTGTTGATAAAATGAGAAAGACGAAACCTCCTCCAACTGTCTGTTGAGGTTCGATGCACTAGCCTTGAAGATTGCAGAAACAACTTCTTTGTTATCTGGGATAAAATATCATATCTGATAACAATCCCACTGCAAAGCTCCACAAGCGACCTGAATGTCTATTTCACCGGATAGGTGATCTGTGCGCATCAAGATCATTTGCCAACGGCTCCAAAGCATTCCGTCCCAAAAACTGCAGAATGCGAATGTCATACGAAGCAGCACATTGTTTCACCAGGCGCAAGCTGAATATTAAGCAAGCGAGAAAGGAAAGAGAGCGAGAGGAGGCACGTAAGCCGCGAAAGAACGACGGTAACAAGAAGTACTTCAAGGCCACACCCTCCTCCGTGTCACTTTGCACATGCTCAACGCGCTCTGGGTCCATGAGCACCTTTCAAAGAATAGATGAACAGCATCTGCTCCCACAGCCCGACTGCTAATCGGAGCTGAGATCAAGACAATCTCTACATGCCGGACATCGAAGAAACCGCTTGGAAAGTAACGCTTGGTCCGGTGACCCTCCTCCAAGAAATAGCCTCCATTTCAACAGAGTTCCACGGCAGTTCTCCGTCAATGAGCTCTCAAAGCTATCGGCCTAGTGGGTCCTTCACTTTGAGCTTCCGAAGCAACTTGCGACCGGTATCCTGCTGTTGCAACAGCAGGAAAACTCTTTGACGGCTGCTTCCGCTGAGCGCTGCACTTTGTCAAGCTTGAGTGGGTCCTGCAAGTCCATTAGGCAGCGTCCGTCATGGGGCAAGAGAACCGTGCAAGAGCTGACAAAGCCTCTGCTGCATCAAGATACTATGGCAGCTGTCGATGAGGCATGCTCGCTCGATGCACGCGAACTTGGAGAATGCAGTCATTTCGTGCAGCTTCTCTACAGTTCAAGAGACGCCTCAAGACAGCCTCAAGAGACCGTTGGCGAACGGGGACAGCTAGAAGCCTCTCACCAGACGATTGCGCTGCTTAGGCTTGGGAAAGTCAGTGTCGAAGTGCCTTACAGATGCTACATACTGGGCAGCCTTCGCCGCTGAACCCCCCGCCAGGTTCTGCAGCTCGCACTTGCTCATGGACACATATACCGAGAACAGACCAGGCTAGATGAAACATGGAGTCTTGGTGCAGTGGGCGAAGCATTGCAAGAGCAAGTTGCTGCTCTGCTCTCGACGCACAGAAAACATCGCGATCTCCCAGCCCGTGACCTACGCATTGTCAGTCTGAGGTCGGCCTGTTCAGTTTTTGCTCTCGTCCGGATTGAGGTGCGCTAAGAAGGTCGTGTCAGTGAGATGGCTTACGAGACAGACTTCCTCAGGCCGCAATCTCCTCGTGGTGTACCAGCGATAAGGTAGCATGTTTGGGAGGTGAAGCGCATGTGACAAAACGGCGGCTGCTCTCCATGGTTCCTAAACGACGTCAGTGTACTTTTCAGCGCAGCCGCAGGCTACGGAGAGGTATGGGTAAGAGAGGGCGCACAAACAAGAACAACGCGATGAACTCAAGGCTGCGGCTGAGTAAAGAAAGATTCGTCGATGTCAACAAGCTAGAGTCTACAATAGTCTACAGCTGTGCTGGAGCGCACTGCAGAGCAGGAGCTCTTCGGCAGATCGACGGTCTATGCTTTTGAGG